TACTCGGGAGGCTGAGGCAGGAGGATCGCTTGAGCCCGGGAGTTTGAGGTTGGAGTGAGCTATGATGGCACCACTGCACTCTAGTCTGGGCAACAGAGAAAGACCCGTTCTCTAAAAAAAAAAAAAGAGAGATAAAGGGGATGAAAGTGGACAGGTTAAGAAGTCGGCTTTGAGCCCATCTGGAACCATGAGAGGTTGGTCTCTTTACTAATGTTAACAACAGGTCCAAGCTGAGCATGGTGGCTCGTGCCTGTAATTCTAGCACTTTGGGAGGCCGAGGCGGGAGGGTCGCTTGAGGCCAGGAATTCGAGAACAGCCTGGGCAATGGCAAGACCGCATCTCTAGAAAAAATAGAAAAATTAGCTAGGCGTGGTGGCACGCACCTATAGTCCCAGCTACTTGGGAGGCTGAGGCAGGAGGATTGCTTGAGCCCGGGAGTTTGAGGTTGGAGTGAGCTATGATGGCACCACTGCACTCTAGTCTGGGCAACAGAGTGAGATTCTATCTCAAAAAAAAAAAAGACAGGTCCATTTCCTGTCCACAATAGCTTATATCACCTGAACTTGATTTCCCTTCAGGTTCCGCTCACAGACCAAAATCACACCAGGTAATAAGTCTAGGTTTGACAGGGTATCCACCTGGGTTTTCACAGCACACTCCAGAGAGAAGATACCTAAGACAATCTCTGAAAAAATTCCTTTGCTGTTTAAAGCCTGACCTTTCTTCCTTTGTTAACCAATGAAAGGGTTCATAGTATTGGCACGTTTAAGGATATCTGGAAACAGTGGTTTTGGTGGTTCGAAGGAACAGGCACGGGACTACATTAAGTCCGATCCCCTATTCCATGGTCCAGCTCGTTCGTGCCTGTCACCTTCCTCACCTTGTTCCCTCTAGGAAGCTCCCAGAAATAGATGAATCTCTCCAAAGACTGGGAACTAAAGTAAGATTCTTCACATGACCCTTGAGTTGCTTACTCCAAGTTCCCCCACAATGTCTGCGGTGGCTTAAGGCTGTGCTCTCAGCACTGACCTCAGACACTCTGCCCACTATCACCAAGTCACTGTCGATTGCCATAAAAAGACAAAACTTAAGTTTCAGCATTTCCCACTGCCATAAGGGTCCCTAATTAAATCTATGCCATCAATTTGAAGGGAAATATTAGGCAATTACTGGTGTTTATGTAGCAGTATGAGACATTAGAGTTTAGTAAATAAGAGTATTTTTCTTTGTTATGACATGCCAAATATGTATTTCATAATGAGCAAAATTTCAATCAAAACTTGTTGAATGAGGAGAATGATTTAATAAAACATTAACTGATTGAAGCTATATTTGTCTTTAAAACCAGCAGGCAATTTGTTAACAATGTTTGTTTTAATATGCCAATGTGTTTTATGCCTGGTGTTCATTTTGGTTTCTACTCATTCTACTTTCATTCCCTTGCCAAATAAGAACCATTATATTATCTTCAAAAGGTAATAAAAGTGCTCATAGTAGACACATACTGCAAGAGAAGATAAGGGTCAAATTAATTCTCATTTCTGATAGATATTATTATTTAAAGCACCTACCTCCATGCAATGATGTTAATAAACTAATCTTATAAATAAGTGTTGTAAAAATGTTTGTAGGCAGAACAATTCAGAGTAGAGATTTATGGTAGGACAAACAACCTTCATGTAAACAGACACAAAATTTATTAGGCTAAGTATATTTTTTCTGAAGGTACGTATTTAAGTCTCATTTAATAAGAGTTTTATTTTAACCTTTGGTTAGCCGGGATGATATAGTCAGGAAAACGAATGATCTTGTGGAATGTAATATATTAAATGGGACACTAGTATCAAATCTAGTTTTTGTTCAAAGTTCATACTTTGTTTTTTATATCCTTGCTCCATATTCAATAGTAATTTTTTCCTGTGTTACTAACACAAGAGAAGTTCCTATTAAGCATGTGACCCAGAAATGGCCAGTCTGAATCAAAGTATGTAGTGTAGTAAATTGATAATCCCTCAATACAACTGCAAGACTGAAATCTACAGTCTTCCCAGAGCTTTTGTATATACCACTGGAAGACAAATCTTTCATTATCTCGAGAGAAACTCTACCCACTAACCTTCAGATACTTAAAACGACCTGGGACCAAGACGAAAATCGTACGAATAGTTACAAACAGGCAAGATAAAGCACACTTCACTTTACCCTAATCTTTTTGGGTCCCAAACCAGGAAACTTCCATCCCCTAAAATATACATTCTACAGTAGCTACTACTCCTGTTTCCTGATGTCATAAGAGCTGCATTTAACCTGAGGACCTTTAATAAAGGCAGCTCATCTCCCTAGCTCAAGAATGAGGGCTCACCCGAACTCACTTTAAATCTTGCTTGCCTTCTTTTTTTTTTTTTTAATCCTGTAGCCTCCAAATAAACTGATCATCATCCATTCTCAGAAGAAAAGAACATTGTTTGCCAACAAAGGAAAAAGAATTTAAGTCATGTACAGGCTTCTTTAGACACAAAAAGGTCACCAGCTCCAGGGAGCAGTTCCCTGGGCTTTAATGAAGATTTCAGTGTGCAGAAACAAAGGACCCACTGCATTAGGCCAGAATCCAATTATATTTCTTTACTAGTAACAGCATACCTACCTGTTTTTCTCTTTGAGTTTTGTTCTCAAAAAGAAAAAAAAACAAAAAAAGGGAAAGAAAATCAGGTAATAAAAAAGAAGTCTTAAAGAGATACAGCTCAGGTTAACCTTTTCAACCTATTAAGTAAACTCAGGGAAGAAAAATACCAAAACAGCAGAAGACTTTTAGCAGTGGGCTGTTGAAAAAGTACCTAGCTTTTGTTTTGATACCAAAAGAAATCTATTAAATATACAAAATGAATCTGTTTCATCATGACAAAGATTATAGCTATTGATGTGTGCCTGCCCTTAGGGTGCTATCATGAATGTTGAATTTGCATGGAATTTTGCATGGAGTTTTCTCAGTTGAAAACATTTTCTTTGTGCCAATAGAATAAGGGCTCTAGGTGTAAAATATCCATCCGAAAGTTTTGAAATTCAATTTTTCAGATCCTTGCAGATAAGGAAGCTATTCTCTGAACACAGTCTCACCTTAGTGTTCTCTTTGGGGAGTGTATTTAACCAATTTGGGTGATGAGCACGAAAGAAACATACATTTCAGCTACCTGTTCTGTTTTCAGTATTTGCTGCTTCTTGAAATTTCAAACACAGATTGAGAGTACATTCTTAAGCATACAGAATTTGTTTTTTAAAGTGATTCCAGGACTGGCCCATGACAGTGTATGTGCCTTCCCAAGTCTGCGCTGCTACCATTTAACCCATAATTCTCAATTGTTCACAGTCCAGGTTAAGCGTGTGGGAGGACCCTGAAACCATAAACTAAGGGGATGAGCCTGGGAGAGAGAAAGCACAGAAGCTGCTCCACCTCGGGAAGGAGAGATGCAGGCCTGACTCACCTAAACCCACCTGCTCAAAGAAACAGCACTTGCTGCCCCTGTTTGCTATATTTGCTCCAAACTTTCTAGGTTCCCTCAATTAGGGTGCAGACACAAGCAACCCTGCTTCCCACTCATTCCAGGGAAGAGGGATGTATGCTTTCTGCACTGCAGATCAGGAACCTTCAGGCAACCTACAGTGTGCGGGGTTCTCCTACCTCTGCAGCCAGCAAGACAATGTAAGACAAAGGGCTCTGAGCTCCCACAACGTAAGGTTTGGACTATCTCCTCTTGAGGCTTGCTAGCCCATAAAACATATAAGTGAATAGATTGTTTCTAAAATAATTTTCTTTTAGTGCTGAGTGTCACTCGAAGTTTTTGGCAAAAAAATATTACAAACGATTCAGTCTTTCAAAACTACCGATCTGTCCAATTGAGGAATAAAGTTCTGGGTCTTTTGACTTTGCTCTGTATTTATTCTCTTTGGTTATGGTTTTTGGGAATCTTTTTAAAGTGGAGGGGACAGAAAAACAATGGGTAAAATATCTGACATCACTGTGCTCAAAAAACATTTATTGAAAAAATAATATTACTGGGAGGCCGAGGCGGGCGAATTGCTTGAGCTCAGGAGTCCAAAACCAGCCTGAGCAAGAGCGAGACCCCGTCTCTACTAAAAATTAGAAAGAAATTAATTGGACAACTAAAAATATATAGAAAAAATTAGCCGGGCATGGTGGTGCATGCCTGTAGTCCCAGCTACTCGGGAGGCTGAGGCGGAAGGATCGCTTGAGCCCAGGAGTTTGAGGTTGCTGTGAGCTAGGCTGACACCACGGCACTCTAGCCCAGGCAACACAGTGAGACTCTGTCTCAAAAAAAAAAAAAAAAAAAAAGAAAAAATAATATTTGGAGTCTGATAGTCCTGAGTTTTGATTCTACTACTTATTGGCTATTTGCTTTAAGGTAAGTTATTATATAAATCTCCCCAAGCCTTCATTTCCTGCCTGGAAAATGGGGCTAAGACTACCTACCTTGCAAGGCTGTTGTGAGAATCGCTAATATAAATGAGGCTCCTTGCGTGGGGCTGACAGGCAGCAGGAGCCAGCCAAGCAGGGAGGATGGTGAGGCACACAGTGTTTTGCAAACTGCAGGTGAAACCAACGGATCATGAAATCAATTTTGTGGCTTGTGGCCATGATTTTGTGTTTTTATGAACTAGAATTGAATGGCTATAATAGAAAATATTAGAGCACAGAAGCACAGGGTAATATTGCTTTGTGAAATTTTTGTTTCTGTGCATGTGCCCACATGGAATCATACCACAATGTGGAGCTCTTATCGTAGCTGCTGGCTGTCCCTAGCGGAGTGTGTAGGAGCTCAGGATCTGGAGTCAGGAATCCCCCTGCATTCCATTTGAATCCTGGCTCTGCTGTTTACCTGTTAAGTGGGTGAAGCTCTCTGTGCCTCAGTTTTTAAATCTGTCAAATGAGGATGAAATAGAATTGCTGGAAGGATTAAGTGAGAGATGGAGGGAAAGAAGCTAAAACATGTTAAGGGTTCCAAAAATGTTACTACTTATATAACTTCTCTGGGACTGCAACAAGCGCTAGGGCAACAGAAAGGAGAGGGGCAGCCTCTGTCCTCACGGAGAGGCAAAAGATAGTAAGGGACGTGGGCAGGGCTGAGAGTAAGTGTCAGCTGTCTGTGTGGGGAACTGCAAAGCATTGGTGGGGTCCAGAACAGTGGTCAGGCACGTGGGTTAAGACCACAGTGGGACAGGAGCCAGAAAACATAACAAAGCAAAGCCACGGTCTCATCTTTTGTTCCTTATGGGAAAAACATTAGATTTCTCTTTTAGGTTTCTCCCTATTGTAGGCTTTCTTTTTTCTGTTTCATTATTTAAATTTATATAAAGAATCTGGTATAAAGAAAATGATCAAGGATCACAAAAACATAAATGGAAATTAATGAGCAGAGTCTTCCCGAACGTTACCATTTTTGCTTAAGTAGTAATGATACCTGAAGGTCCACTACCGCAATCCTTGGTAATAAATAGTTACGATTTATTGAGCATTCCTAAGAACCAGGCATAGGACGGACCACAATTTCCATCCAGTTAAATCTTCACGACAAATCTGTGAGGTAGTAATTACTGGACCTGGTTTAAGGATGAGGAAACTGAAGCTTTGGAGGCTAAGTGACTTCATCAAGGTCACACGATCCCATCAGGCAGCACCAGTATAAAAATGCGGGTCATGCTGACACTCAGTACATGCTCTGAAAGAACCTATACCAAGCTATCTCCAGAGTGATTTCCTGGGACCCTTTATAGACTACATAGTCTCTCTAGTCTATGTTTCTTTTATCAAGCAACATTGTGCCTTGGAGACAAAGAAATATAAAGTTTAAAAAATAAAGGTTCTGTGTTTACAATGCTTGGTGATCCTAATCTACAGGGACACAAAACCTAGCACTGTTTTGTAAGCACGCTCTCTGGAGTATATACACAGAGCATTTGCTCAAAAGTAGGGTGGAAACTTATGGAACAAAACCAAAACCTGGTGATGTCAAGGTATATTTAGTATTTGCTCAGATGTGCTTCCAAAACATTACTGGAAGAGCCAAGAATCATCTAATGTTACTTCTTTATTTAGAGTTCCTTTATGTACATAAGCACACAACCATTTCTTATTAAGAAGCATTAAAAGTAAACGCAAGGCACAATTCTAGATCCTTTCATCCAAGGATATGAAAGTACTTTACGCCCATTATCTCTGCAAAGTAAATCTCATTTGGCCCATTTTTGAGATGGGTACAACTTGGGAATTTAAACTCATTACCTACTGTAACCACTAAATCAAGCTTCTAATAGCCAGAGGGATTATGTGCTGAAAATTTCTTCCCGTTTTTCCCGAAAGGGACATCTCTATTTTTAATTGTTAAAACATGGTGGTAAAATACACATAACATAAAATTTACCACTATAGCCATTTTAAAGTATACGGTTCAAAGGTGTTAAGGACATTCACGTTGTTTTCCAGTCATTACCACCATCCATTCACAGGAATTTTTTTGCCTTAAAAAGCCGAAACCATATACCCATTAAATCAGTGGTCCCCAACCCTTTTGGTACCGGGGACTGGTTTCATGGAAGACAATTTTAATTCAAGTGCATTCATTTATTGTGCAACCAAACCTCTCTGCTAATGATAATCTGTATTTGCAGTGTTCTGCAGCATTTGCATCACCACCTCAGCTCCACCTCAGATCATCAGGCATTAGATTCTCATGAGGAGGTGCTACCTAGATCCCTCATGCACAGTTTACAGTAGGGTTCGCCACTGATCTGACAGGAGGCAGAGCTGATGCGGTGATGCAAGCGATGGGGAGCGGCTATAAATACAGATGAAGCTTCCTGACTGGCCCTCAAGCTGTGTGGCCTGGTTCCCAACAGGCCTCCGACTAGTACTGGTCTGTGGCCCAGGGGTTGGGGCCCACAGCATTAAACAATGTAACTCTTCATCCCCATCTTCCCTCAACCCCTGGTGACCACCATTCCACTTTCTGTCTTGGTGAATTGAACATCTCTTCATAACTAGTGTACCACCTCCCTGCTTAAAATCATTTACTGGTGACTAGATTCTAAAAGTTTCCCCAAAGCATCCAAAAGCAACGTAATTCTCACAGCCCCACGGTTTCACAGAAAGCCCTCAATGGAGATAATCACCTTTGAAAAGGTAGCTTTATTTCCTACAGCAAAATTCCATCAAGACACTTAAAATCCATGTTTCTCTATAGAAACCCCTTGAGTGCTAAACAAACAATTTATCATTTTGTTCTTAGAATTATGTGGTTATCAGTGGATAAAACTGTGGCAATAGGGAAGTTTGAGTCCAGAAATCTATCTGGGTAAGTTATTATTAAATCACACACACATGAAAACAAATGAATGAACAAACAAGCCCTAGCATCTGATGAAAATACCTGCTGTTAAAAATGTGTTCTATTCGGGGGAAGGATCGATCCTTTCACCCAATTAAAAAAAAGGCAATAAAATTAAAGCAATTAAATTTAGCTGCCCTATAAAAGATGACCCTCTGACTTGCATACCTGAGGAATGATTGACATTTTCTTCCTTAAATCGTGAAGTCCAATCTCAGTTGTCAAGATCTTATCAATCCAAATTTTACCTTCAGGTTCTGCCAATCTAAAAAGGGCTGAAATGAGGGAACTTTTTCCAGCTCCTGTTCTTCCCACAATGCCAACCTACAGAGAAATACAGTAGGAGGGATTAAAAAAATAGCAGTAGGCACCAAACTTAGGAGGAAGTCTTTTGATTTTTGAAGATGAATTAAGGAAGTTCTATACTGAGTGTAGACAAAAAGAGTTTCTCAACCCCAGCACTGTTGACATTTTTGGCTGGATAATTCTTTGTTGTGAGGGGCTGTCCCATGCATTATGGGATGTTCACCATATCCTTGGACTCTACCTCCTACGTGCCAGTAGCACACCCCTAAATAGTGACAACCAAAAATGTCATTGAAAAATGTCCTCTAAGGGCAAAACTGTCCTTGGCTGAGTTGACGACAGTCTGAAGAAGAGTTAAAAATAACAGAATCAATCTAGTACCCAGTGAAAAACCAGCAGTAAGTGGCCAATAAGAAGGCAACTTTTAAATTAGTATTACTTTTAGGGTCTGGGTATTTTGAACCTTGAGAATTTCTTCACAGAGATGTTAACAATTCAAATCAGAAGTGTTATACATAAACAAGTATTCATTTTTCCAGAGTTTTATCATATAAGATGAATTAGTCTTTGGAAGACAAACTTCGCATATTAAATCTCTGGTTATGTTCTGTCTTAAAAGGAAACAAATGTCTTAAAATTTTCAAATTCAAGTCTCCGCGTCTTAAAAGAAAGTAACTGGTAGCCAAAATATACATAATGAGCTCAACAACAACATAAATAACACTGACTATTTATATGGGGCCTTTCATCTGAGCAGTTCAAAAGGCGTTTTACAAACCAATTAATACTCACAATTGCCCCTTGGGAAACATTTGTGTCAAGTATCCTTCCTCTTATTAAAGTCAAAGCAGAGAGAAATGAATTGCACTGACAATAAGATCAAAGAATCAATATAATGCAGGTAATGTGGTGGTCAGGAGTGAAACTGCTCTGTAGAAACTGGCTTTCAGATGTATGCATTTAGACCTGTATGCAGAAACTGGCCTTTTTACCATTGACCTTGCCCTACTGTAAACTTTCTGGTGGGAGCTTTCCAAGGAATGGATATTGTTCATATTTAGGAATCTGCAATCAATGAAGGCCATAAGACATGCCTTTAATCATTTGTAAATGAATAAATTTTAAAAACTCACTACTTTAAACAGAAAGGAAATAAACTTTACTGTATACTGATTATGTGCTGAGAATTTTACATGTTATCTCATTTGAATACCTCCACATTTAAAAAAAATCTGCAAAATCAATAATGGCATTTCAAAAAAGAATTTATAAGATTAGGTATAAGAAAAGTGGCTTTAGCCAATATTGTTATCTTCGTAGCCCTTTTCAACATTATGGTAAATTCTAATTTATGTTTTACAAATTGGCCTTTTTCTGTACACAGGTCCTAGTGCATACACATATATACGTGGCTTATGTCGGTTTCTGGGCATCTCAAGGCGTTTTCGTATGTAAATCACCAAACATCAAGACACAGGCAAATGCTGTGTTTGTGAGAATGTGGGGACACTCACAGGCTATCAGCTCTATGGGAAACTGATCCATCTGTGCAAACCTGGACTTTATAGGACACTGAAGGTCGCGTACAACCACAGGACTATAAGCTCCAAATTCAAGTGAGGATAATAAAAAAAAAAAAAAAGGAAACCTCCTCTAAGAAAATGTGGCTATAGCTCTTCCCTATACTGTTCAAAGTCATAAAATCTACAAAGTTTTTCACAGGTCACCAATGAGTTGAACCAAATGCCTGTGGAGACTGTCACCAATATCAGTAAGTTTATATTCACAACACCAAAGACACACTTTGAGATTGTCCTATTTTAGGGGCTCTGCTCTTGCTCCTTTGTTTCCCAACTAGGCCGAGATCACTCTCTTTGGCTGTTAGACATTTGCACTCTCTTGATACATCAAAGTCAACAATCAATGCCCAATGCTCAATTCAAAACAGCTCAGCTTCAGGCGTCCTCATTTTAATCTCGTAAGTTCTTCCCCAAGTTCACGGGCTCAAAACACCCACTTTCAGCTCTCTCTACTAGTACCAAGCCCTGAAGATACGACTTCTTCTGTTTTTTGACTCAATCTCCTCATTTTAATTCCCACACCCATCACCTGAGTACGGGCCGCATTAATCTTTTAAAAAAACAAAACAAACTCTTTTCCTAATTATAATCAGTGCAAATGAATTTGAAAAGTAAATCAGCACTAGCCACGATCACAGCACTCTGATAGAACCCTTGTTACATGCTGATGCACTGTTTCTGAGCTTGAGGGGGTGGTGTGTGTGTTCCTAAAGAAACAAACTCATATATTTAAACAAAATGAGTTTAATATGAACATATTGTAATCTGTTTTCACTATTTCACAAAAAGTATTTATTTTAATGGCCACATAATATTACAGTATATTTGATCATTTATTTAATAAATCCACTATTTGTGGATGTTTAGGCTATCTCTAATATTTTGCTATTATAAATAACAACATGTTAAATATCCTTGAAGCTAAATCTTTGCAAACAACCTTAACTATTCCTTCAGATAAATTCTTAGATGTGGAATTGCTGAGAAACAGGTATGAACATTTTCAAACGAGGCTGTTAAGTTCTGCCAAACTACCCTCCAGAAATATGATACCAATTTCTACTCCCACCCGATTCTCTGCATATTCACCAACCTGGGTGTTATAACTTTCTTTTAATTGACATGAGTTTGATTCCAAAAAGGGAATCACTTTCCCCATTACGACTTGCTAGGAGTACTCAAGAGCTCCTGGCTTCCTGCCTACTGTGTCTCCTCACTATGATCCCTGTACACTCACTTCTCAGATGAAATGTCGGAAAGATGCCTCTGTGCCTAGCACTGTGCACCAGGAAACTTCTTCTACAAAATGGTACCAATTACCATTTCCGACCTTAGCTCCATGACTTTGCTTCCTTGGGGTTACTGGGGTGTGCGTTATATGCCTAGTAGTATGTTCCCCAGTAAAGTCTGCAGTTCCCTAATTCTTCACCCACGTCCAATTGTGGCATCGTGCTCATGGTGATCTCCACGTGAATGCCTTTCACGCGCAGCTCTACCTGCCGAATTCCTAACCACACATCAAAGTCTGGATCAAGTGCCTAATTCTGTGAAAATGTACAACCTGTTTCCTCATGTGGATCTCTCCCAACCCTAATGGGTGTCATGTCACCTTTTTCTAAACATCCATAAAATTGGGGACCTCCTTCTGTGTAGAGCAGCGATTTATATATGACTTTGTTTCTTCTACTGGCTGTATATGCTGTGGGCAGGATCTGCATTAGAGTCACTTTTGCATTATTCGTATAACCTGTGATGTCCCCATGAAAGAATATTCTACAGAGTTTAAAATTTCACTCAATCTTGAAAATTTAACAGGAAATCTATTACCATGCTGTTCAGGCACACAATAAACTGAACAGAACACAGAAGTGGCAGATGATCTTATAACCATGAATAGACTGCAAATGGCCTACCCCTCATTTTCATGGGGGCTACAATTTATGCATGATAAGTGGTTAAAGTTCATTTAACACTCCATGATAATGACAGCTATCTTTGATCAAGCATTTATTTGTGTTGGTCACTGTGCTAGGTGTTTTACACCTCGTTTTGTTCAAGTTACATAACAACCCCAGAGATTAGGTTCTATGGCTTGCATTTTGCAAAAGAGAAAATTGAGGCTTAGTAACATTAACCTGTCTGAAATAACCGAGCTCATAAGTGGCAGAATGGACTCAAACCCAGGTCCATCTGCATTTCAGCTCTCCTGCTGATGGCCTCCCTACCACATGGGTGGCCTGGCACCCTACTACTCCCTCAGTCCAGCTAGAAGGGAGACGGGGGAGAAGTGCAGCTGCAGTTATAGGAACTATCCTATCATACTGGTCCTACCGCCAGAGGTTTAAAGCAGGCTGTGGACACAGATGAGCACAGTGTGGTATGCAGGACAAGAAACCCTCAGCTCTGAGCAAGGAAGGTCCCTATAGTCTGGGGGATCACAGTCGCTGAGAGGAAGAACTGGCACGCACAGCAGACACTAAGAGAGAAACCTGCAGCCGTGCCGGGCCCAGGGGAGCCAGACAAACCTTGTTTGGGTCAACCCTGTTTGGGCAACAAGACTAATTCTGATCCCATCAGGTAGTGAAAGGAACTCAGAACCATCTCTGTGCTTGGCCAGTATGGGGTAACGCATGACCTCTACGTCAAGTTGTCAAAGGAAGCTTCTTGGAAAGCATGGATTATCCATCATCAAAATTTGCTTATGGGAGAGAGATGACAGTACAAGGGGGTCTTGTTCAATGGCAGTTCTGGCTCAGGAGGGCTTGGTGGGCCTGAGAGTCTGCATTTCCAGCAAGGTCCCAGCAGGTGCGGGTGCTGCTGGTTCCGGCCCCACGGCATCAGCAGCCAGGATCAGCAAGCAGGTAGGGCCAGTGGAACGATCGGGGCTCAAGGGGAGCGGTTTCTGAGAAAACATTATGTAAAAAAGGAGAAAATGTGGGAAACTATTTTTTGCACATTATGGCAAGGTCTAGTACACATCTGTAAAAATGTATTATCCAAGTAATAGCTCTGAGCAAGAAAAAAAACATAACAAACCAAAATCAATTCTACCTGTAGAGCTGGAAAATGCTTTAAAATGGCCCAGTACTCTCTAAAATAATCAAAGCAACCAGAAAATCTTCTAAATGAAATATGCAGCCCATGTTTAGAATCTAATCCGGAAGGCTAGGATGGTATTTACCTCATTTTGGTTCTTTATTTTTACTTGCTATTTCTTCCATGAATTAGAAACCTGCTTGGTACCGATTACATTTTCCTATTTACTATAACGTCCAGGAATGTGAGCAGAGGAGATGAATGAAAGAGAATAAAGCCCCATTTCTGCTATGTTGACACATTCCCATGTCCCCACCTGAAACGGTGCCTCTCTGAATCAGATCCAACACCAAGGGGGCTGCCAGAAATGCTGGGGGCAGGTGTGGAGGAGATGAAACCTGGACATACACAGGCAGAGGGAAAGCGTTTCATGACTACACTCCTGGATACAATCTCCAAATACATAAATGGAGCTAAAGGTGAGACTGCGAGTGGAGTAAGATCCAAATAAAAAATCAAGTTATTGTAGTTACTATAATTCAGTCTTCAAATTTAACTTACTCTTAAGCATTTTAGATCTCAGATAATCCTATGAATTAGGGGTTTTTAAGATTGAACAATATAAATCTGGGGTTATAGGTTGTGTTTTCTAAGTTGCACAACGGAGTTTTGTAGATAATTCAGATTTTATGTCTTCTATGACGTGTGCAAATTAACAGAATTACATTGACAATGTCAGATCTAATAAACGCATTTTAAGTAGGCAAACATCCCTTCTGGTGCTGTGAGGAACAGAATTTGAAAGACACTGCTTTCGCAAAGAGCTACAGTGAGTGCTGTCCACACAGCAGCCCTCACCTTTTCCAGACCCACAAGGAAACCAGGGAAATAATTAGGAGCCGGCCTGTGCCAAGCAACTTACTAAAGCCGTTCTCTGGGTTATCATTTGGGTATGAAGTTGTACACTTACTGTTTTCATGGCACAAGGGTTATGGCTATAGTCCACTAAATGGGCCTCCGGTGGAAAGAGTTGAGCAGTTCTTTAAGTATTTAACACTTCCATCTAGGTAATGGGCTGTCTGCAAGAGTTGTGTGTGCACATGATTTTGCTACTGATCTCTGGGGCCTGGATGGGATTGCAGCATCAGCTCACCCAGGACAGAAGCTCGCAGAGAGCCAGGTACGGGTCATATCTGTGTTCAGAAAGAAACAGTCTGCAGTGGGAGGGCAGGCAAGCAAAAGGGGAGTGTAGGTTAAAGACAGGAAAGACTAAGGGTCAAGGGACAGAGGAGGAGAAGGGCTGGAATGGAAGCTGCGGCAATGGAGAGAAACAGAAGGACTTGGGAAATACCATGAAGAAAGAATCGACACAACTAGACGTGCCAGGGTTAGGGACAAGGAGGCAGGACTGACCTCCTGAGACACCCATGAATAGCTGTCGGATACAGCATCGTGAGTGAGGTTAAATCCAGCCCTGGAGCGCAGGGCACACCAACCACCACGCAGCAGCTCACAGCATGAATAAAGAAATGGTGGTATCCACATTCCCTGGTCATTACCAAGACCGATTCACCTACATTATCCCTGATCTAATTTGCATCCACAATAGAACAGAAAATCCCCTTGACATGTCCAAGAGGAAGCCAACAAGCCGATGTGGTACTCAATATTTAGATGAAATTTTAAAGAGGTAAGATGTTTAAACAAACCTTTTCCTGTGATTTAATGAGTGCTGTCAGGTGCTTCAGTACCAGAGGCCCATCTAAACTGTACATGAAGTTAACATTATCAAAGATAATCACTCCTTCATGGGGCCAGGCCGGCGGCGGGCGTTTCTGGTATTCCCAAGGTGCTTCTTTCTCAAGGTTTGTATATTCAATCACCCTTTCTACAGAAATCATCTGAAAGAGATAAGGCACCCACACAGCTTAGGGATGGAGGGTCTGGCTCATGAATGCTAAGAGACTATCAATGAAACGTTCATCTTTTGTACACAGCTGGTTAAGGAAAACTCAGGTCTTAACATCCCCAAAGGAGAGAAGTAAGAGATTGCTTTAGGACTTTGATGATTTACAAACTTGTTCATCACTGTATTGCATCTTTACTTATGGCTAGTTCCTTCAACATTACATTAAAACTAAAAGCATTACATACACAAAGAGTGCAATTCGCACCACCCGAAGGATGGACATATTTGAAACTTGGACTTAGGGGGGGAGCAGGGGGGCAAGGGCAACATACGTAACCTAAACATCTGTACCCCCATAATATGCTGAAATAAAAAAAAAAAAAGAAAAAACTAAAAGCATTAGAGAAACGAATGCTTAGATTTTATTTACTCACTTCTCGCATCTGAATAAAAGACAAGGACTTTGTAAAAGAAAAGCATGCTTATGGTCACTAATCAAAATATTTTGCTATACAAGGGCCACCTGCTATACATCAGTTAAATTGGGGCGGGGTGCAGTGGCTCAAGCCTGTAATCCTGGCACACTAGGAGGCCGAGGCAGGAGGATCACTTGAGCTCAGGAGTTTGAGATCAGCCTGAGTAAGAGCCAGACCCCATCTATACTGAAAATAGAAAAATTAGCCAGGCATGGTGGTGCATGCCTCCCAGCTACTTAGGAGGCTGAAGCAGGAGGATCGCTTGAGCCGAGAATTTTGAGGTCACAGTGAGCTACAGTGATGCCGCTGCACTCTATCCTGGACGACAGAGTAAGACTCTGTCTCAAAAATAAATAAATAAATAAATAAATAAATATTAATAAATAAATAAAGCCAGGCGTGGTGGCTCACCCCTGTAATCCTAGCACTCTGGGAGGCCGAGGCAGGAGGATCACTTGAGCTCAGGAGTTTGAGACCAGCCTGAGTAAGAGCCAGACCCCATCTATACTGAAAATAGAAAAATTAGCCAGGCATGGTGGTGCATGCCTCCCAGCTACTCGGGAGGCTGAGGCAGGAGGATCGCTTGAGCCCAGGAGTTTGAGGTTGCTGTGAGCTAGGCTGATAGCACGGCACTCACTCTAACCCGGGCAAAAGAGTGAGACTCTGTCTCAAAAAAAAGAAGAGAGAGAGAAGAAAATAAATAAATAAATAAATAGGGTAGCCGTCAAACCTTACTGTAATAATTAGTCACCTTCTGCTCCACAAGAAGAGTGAAATGAAAAGATTTCATGTTCATAGTTTTTCTCCTTTTAGGAGAAGGTGCATATAACCTGACGCCTTTGACTAGAACATTCCAATATGGGGCTTGTCCTACCAGGAAGGCCTCCTGCCTCCTGTTCAAAACATAAGAGAATAAATGATAAAATTGATAGGGGTGGGGGTGGGAGGGGGAAAGATTAAACTAATTAAACAAACAAACAAACCACTTCAAGATACTGAATTCGTCTTTTACCAGGAATGAGGAATTATCCATTAAGAAACAAAAATAAAAAGCCTCTAAGAAATTAGCTTATATCCTCTCTAGGATTTCAGAAACTCCCTCCTACAGAGACATTTATTACATTTGAAGACAGCTTGTGATGAATATAAAACCTGCTGACATAGCACACATAAGACTGAGAAGAAGATGTATATATTTTATGTTACATTAACTTTAAACAGATGGAGGAAGGATCTTAAAAAACTGTTAGCTACGATGTAAAAATAACAGTTTAATATTTTACATAAGAATTGCTTTTATGCCATGTAATCGCAAGGAGACTGGAAAAGGCTAAGAATCTTATGATAAACATTACCATATTCTCAACTTCAGTACTTTGTCTAACACACCACTGGAACATCCCCATGATGGTGAGCGCGTAGGACAACACCAAGCCCACCTGTCCAGCATCCAAAGCTACAGGAAGAGGAAGAAGGGAATAAAGTCAGCCTCATTTTGGACCTGAGCCTGGCTTCCTCTGACACTTTACCAAGAGAAGCCCTCCATCATGATTACGCAACGTGCATATAATGATAGTAACAGTTATACTTTTACTATGTGTTGATTGAGGTCATGATACAATGAAAAAATAGCAAATATAAATTCAGAAAGATCACTGAGTTTATGAATGCCAACAAGATAAACATACATTTGAAAAACAGTATAACACGTGTGAGGACTCATGTCATTATTCAGACAATCGTCATTATGGTTTCAAAGCCCATTATGTAATTCCACATTCTACGTCCAAGGCAACCACAGTTGGAAACCACTAAAAACAAGGCAATAGGTCCTAAGAGCCAATGCTCTTGAGATTAAAATACCATTCTCATTGTTCCATCATTAAATATTGCAATTCAGTGTGATTCCTATGGCAGAGTTAGGGGTGGTGAATTCAAGCCATGCACACCAATACCTGATGTGGCAGTGATGATCATGCTCTTTCCTGCTGAGAATCCTTCTCACCCTAATGCACCAGGCAGCGGCAACCAATAGATCTAAGTAGTCCAAAAGGTTAAACCTAAAGCCCTAAGCTAGATAAAACACTTAATAGTAAACTTGATTTTCTCCTCACAATTCCTAGCCACTAGCAGGAATGAATATTCAGAATATCATTTAGGCATAGTTCAATCCATTCAAAGAAGGATAAAAGAAACTCATCAAGACCCAAATGATGCCTTTAAATGGATCACACTACTCAATCATATCCAACCTGAAAAACTATAAACGCTTAAATACACTGCATTAGAACCAAGTAGTGTTAATATAAAATATTGGACAAGGTGGCAACAGTCGAATTGAACAACTGTAAACACAGCTAAAGATTGTACTCATACCATACATAGTTATTCACATCTGTACTTACTTTGTGCCAGAATCAGGGTCCCATAGGAAACAATGCTGACAAATAAGGCACAGATGGCATCCAAACGCAACGCGAACCATCGGGACGTCGTCAAAAACAAGAACCAAGCCTCTGAATTTGTGAACCATAATATGCAGGATGAATAAATACAAAAACCGTATTAACTGCATTGAACATGACAGTGTTCTGCTCAGTTGAGCTACAGATGTTCACACAGAGTAGGGCAGCAAAGCTGCACACTCGAGGAACCGGAAGATTCCAGAAAGCTAAATGATACAAGGCAATACACGGCACACAAACAGCACAACATAGAAAAATGCTCTCATAAGCACATCTCTTGCAGTGCTGGGCCTTAACGTGCAGTTCACCCACTCACAGGGTTGACCGTTCCCAGTTCTCCAACTACAGAGAGTGTAGCTCCCAATTTACTGTCAGCTGCTTCCGTGCTTAGTAAGGGCCCTGCATATAGCGCATATTGCTTTGGGGCAAATAACTATTGAATACCTCACTAAAAGGATCTGCATGTGGTTTTTAAAGTGTCATTTAATCATCAAAATACAATAAATACTGTAAAGGTGGAACAGGATTTTGTAGATTTAGAGGAAATTCCAAAGTTTCCAAATGGAAAAACAAACTTCACAAATGCAAAGGATAATACACATCAAGTGGGTGGCAAGTCTGATAACTGGGATATTGATTTCCTCTGCCACCCTGCATGCTCTAAAGCAAGGCTCGGCACACCATAGCATATGTGCTTTTGCAAATAAAGTTTTACAGAAACTCAGCCATGGCCATTTGCCGATATGTCATCTATGCTATTTTGGTGCTACAACAGCAAAGGTGAATAGTTGCAAGAGACGATATTGCATACAAAGCCTAAAACATGTACCAGGTGGCCCTTTACAAAAAAGGTTTACTGACCCCTGCCCTGGAGAGATAGACAGCCACAGGGCACAGTGACGGAAAGACCACACAAGCCACTCAGCGGGAAGAAAGAGGGGAAGCACAGAGGTGCTGGCCTTTGAAATCATCTCCAGAAATGTACAGACCCGAATGTAAATCCTGATGTGCATCAAACAGTTCCTGAAACCTCTCTTCAGCTTTGTATGCCCGAATGGTCCAGAGCCCCTGGAGAGAAGATGACAAGTGGGAAAATACCGGACTCCGTGCTGCAGAAAGAAACGGAGAAAACAGAGAAAGCTCAGTGAGGCTAGATGCAGAGAAACCAGGAGCCTCCCAAGCTCTGTGGTCACACACATCCTACCACACACAACACTAAGGCTTCCTGGAACTTTGTGCTTCAAGAAGAAGTGCTCCCAGAGGCCTGCAGAGGACCATGAACGTCTAACCTCAGACTCTTGATCAAACCACACCTCACTTTTAGGACCTGGATATGAAAGTCTCTATTTGATCCTATCTTTGTTTAAATTCAAATCTAGTTATAATTCCTTCCTTGCTAACTGATCCTTCAAGGTCCTCTCTCCATATTCTCACCTGACATCTCTTTTAGCAGAAATAACTTCTCAATGATTTTTGAGCTAGTAGCATTTTAAAAAATAATTCTGTTAGAGTACTCGCCACAATGAATTATAATTAGCTATTCATGTGTCTGTCCCCATCTTAGATTACTAATTTCTAAAGGGCTGGGTTGTAGTCATTGCATCCTAGTAACGAGAATAGCACCTGGCACAGGAGAGGTACTCGAGAAGTAAGCTGAGTGGACAGCATGTCACCTCCCTGCATCCAAAGGAATCTCCCATGCACACTTGTGCAGGAAGTCCCATGTGATCACCACGTATCTGGTGTTGCACTGCTCACAGGACCTGCCCAGTCAAGACACCTTTGTACGGTCCAGACTTCAGCTCCATGAACCTGATGGATGTTTTTATAATTGCCTTGCTGAAGACTTGTTCTGATGTTTGGAGGTCACTGTGGCATGTGCCACAGCCCTTTTCCGAATGTGACTTTGGCATCAGTGGATTCATCAACCTCATAGAAGTAACCTTTTAGGTAACTTTGTTTTGGTTGGGGGCCTGATGTCCCACGCTTGGTCATTTGTTTTGAGCACACTGTTTTATGACCACCGGGGCATGTGCCCCTCTCACACATGAGGGGAATGCGCAGCGCAGGGACAAGTCCCTGAGGTTCCAGTCTCCAGCGACTGAAGATATACTGGGGCAGGGCACACTGGGAGCACGTGACCTCACACATTGTCTTTAACGTTCTCGTCCAGGATGATTACTCTTGGCTTGTAAGTGACACTGATGTATCACTTTATGTAACTCCAAGAGAAGATCAATTAGTAAAACATGGGGTGTTTGGGAGAAGTGAAGATAATCCATCTTACCTGAAGCTGCTTATGTTTGATAAAATAACAAAGGGGAAAAAACAAATCAAGGGAAACCCTTGAACTTACTATCTGGGGCTAGCTCCTCAGTCTGGCACCCGAGTGTGGCAGTCGGCTCAACATGGATGTGCTCGCTACGTACATGGGCACTGCACGTGTTCACGGGTGCTGGGGTACAAGCGTACCGAGACACAGCCTCCCCATACCTAGCTCCACAAACAAGGAGAAAGCCGGCAACCGAGTATGAGACGCTGGGCTTCAGAGAAGGTGGGAAGCCCCGGGTTGAGGAATGACAGCCTGGGCTGTGGGCCCACTGACTATCTGCTCCTCCCTGGGGATCCTTCCTGAGTGGGGTGTCTGACCTGGGGCACCGACTGTTAGGGACTCTCTCCTGTGACACTGCTATAAGAAACAAGACCTTCCCTGAACACAAATTCACACCACCAGGACATGATCTGACATTTCCCTTGTATCTAATTCAGGCAGAGAGCCTCCCATCACTCTGCGGTGGCTCTGACTATCCGGCTGCACATGTGTGGTCCTCCTCTAGCATCTACACCATTATCAACCTTCAATACGCTGAGTAACTGTTTACTTATTTCAGCTTCAACTTTGCACTTCTAAGACAGCAGTAACACAGTGAGAGGACTGAGCCCACGCTCCCAATAAGGACGGCTGGAAGCTCTGCGGAGGCCTTTCCTTCACACCCCAGCAGACGTTCCACCCTGCTCTGGGACTTGGTCAGTCTGGAAACAGGGTGCTTCCAGGATAATCCAAGAGAATTCCAGGCCCCATCAACCCCACCAAGAGAGTGCCAAGAGTCTAGCTCCCAACAGCTCCGAGAATTCACTAGAACTGGGCTTTCATTCCCAGAGTAAGGCAGTAACGTGACATAAACACTTTCATCGTAGACAATTGATGTGATGACCACCCAGGCTGAGTTCTTGAAGGAAATTTTACAGCTTGGCAGTTGTCATTTGTTTCCCTTATCAGGGACCAAAGTTGCCAGTGTTTATCTCGGGCTAGGTTTCAGGGCAGCATCAGCTTGAGAAGGTAGGTGTCATCCCAACCCTAAGCAGCAGGGAGGAATCTTAAGTCTAAGTCAGGAACTTTAACTCAGACTTGAGTTACCAAGGTGAGGCAGGAGTCAGTACCTGTGAAAAGATAATCCTGTCTCTTTCATGCCCCACTTAGGGCTGAGTGGGCTGCCAGCGGGGTGACCCAGGGGTCCACAAAGACAACTAACTAATACCTAGGGAGAGCGCAAACAAAGGCTCCACTTCCGTTGTCTCTTCCCCACACAGGCTCATCAGGCTACCCTGAAGTAGACCTCGCTAACACCGATCCACTAGCTAGCAATTCCTGATAGATATAACCTGCCATTTCACAAGATCAACAATTGTATTTCCCACGCCCCTAATGACTCTGCGACATACTGCACAGGGACTGTGTATGTTCCCTGAGAAGCAGGGCATGGAATTGGTCTGAGAGTTGACAGGCTAGCTGCAGGGTACCACTGATGCTATGTGAGACCTTCTGATGATTATTATGTTTGTAATTCTCTCATGTTCAAGGCGCTAATGCCTTTGTTAGTTCTCTTGTGGTCCAAGTTCTAGTGCCCTTTCCAAGCATTGTCTCAGGCAGTCCTCACAAGAGCACCACGGGGCAGGTATTATATCCAACAGAGGGAAAAATAGCCTTGAGGCATTGAGAGCACTGCCCCAGATTAACTAAATTAACCTGAGTAGGTGCTAGAGTTGGGCATCAGACTCAACTTTGTCTTACTCCCAAGGCTGTGCTTTTAACGTGAGCCGCCATGTCTCGAGGGAACACGATTGAAGTTAAAGATTCTCATGAGTCATTGTGTTTCTCCAAACTTTGTAGGCCATGTTTAGAAAACTGCAAAATGTTATTTAGCTAATGTCCAATAGGCTTCCCCATTCCTGTACCTCTTATTAAGCACGTTAAGATGAACAAAGATCCTGGGCATCTGGCATGAGCAGACTCAAGGGTCTATGGTCTGAATGCACATGGGATGTGGGTTCACATTCCCCTGGCCAATGCCCAGGGCAGGCATTGCTAGTTGATCACAGCACCTTTACAGACAGAACTTGGATACGGCTTCACAATCCAGGCACTGCCAAATGAATAAAGATGGCTAGAGAGATGCAACCAAATGCCATCCTGGTTTTATGCACTTTTCTATGTCTGACTATTGCTACGCTCACTTTTGTAAAAATAAAAAAAAAATTATAGGGCCGGGAGAGGTGGCTCATGCCTGTACTCCTAGCACTCTGGGAGGCCAAGGTGGGAGGACTGCTTGAGCTCAGGTATTCCAGACCAGCCTGAGCAAGAGCGAGACTCCCGTCTCTACCAAAAACAGAAAAATTAGCTGGGCGTCGTGGTGTGCCTGTAGTCCCAGCTGCTCGGGAGGCTGAGGCAGCAGGATCGTTTGAACCCAGGAGTTTGAAGTTGCAGTGAGCTATGATGATGCCACTGCACTTTACCCAGGGCAAAAGAGAAAGACTCTGTCTCAAAAAAAATAAAAATACAAAAAAATTATAATCAACTACAGATTTGTTGTTAAGATTTCTGAAATGAGGCCAGGCACAGGGGCTCACGCGTATAATCCTAGTGCTTTAGAAGGCCAAGGCAGGAGGATTGCTTGAGCTCAGGAGTTCAGGGTTACAGTGAGTTATAATTGTGCCACTGTACTCCAGACTGGGTGACAGAGCAAGACTCTGTCTCTTAAAAAAAAAAAAAGAGGATTCCTTAAGTGTCAGCCTATGGTTCCACAGGTAGCTACGCAGTATAAGCGAGGCTTTAGTTGGCCTTCAAATCACTAGGATGAGGTAGGATAATGACTTTTTGCCATAGCAATCAGGCATCCATCTTCTGGTTGGTGATTCCAGTAGTGGATCAAAAAAGTATGATCAATTACAGCTTATAAAAAACAGAGGAATTATTATTTATGGCACAAACCTACCACCTGGAAGGATACAATAAAGAGTTCTAATCAGCTGGCCACCACATTTCGCTACCTGGGACATGGAGAAGGGAACATCCATATTTAACTTACTGTTACAGCCAACTGGGGTACAGGAAAACCCACATGTTCAACAGGGGCGATGACAAAGTTGTCAGCATTTCCAGATCAAAATGTTCTCAAGCTTTAGGGTGTGTGCCAGGATTGAAGAGAGGAACTCCCACACTGCTTCTTGAAAAAAGCCTTAGTAAGTCCTCTTCTCTGCACATCCACATGCACGGGAAGTGGCCCTCGTCACAGACAAAAATCTACATCAAGGTGTTCCTTCTGGAACGAACAACCCTTCCTTGAATAAACCTTCCTTTGCAACTCGACTGTTGAAGAACTTTCCATGAGTGGTCCCAAATCATAAGACGTCTGCTGCCTTCTGGTCTACATAGAAGACTGGCTGGTGCCAATGAAATGCATAAAGAAAGGTCTCCTCCCAGCAAATCCAATCATTTATGCCCTGCCTTCTTAAAGTACTATCCTAAGTAACATGTCAGGTCAGCAGAAGGTTCCACACATCTGGACCACGCTGTTCCACCTTCCCGCTGGGGCACCTCACAAAACCAGAACTCACCGAAGTTCAGCTGGCTCCCCTGAGGACTGAAAGATTTTCTTAGAGCTTTTCTGAAACTGCCACCCACTCTCCTTTATGCAGACAGTTATGATAAATGCCTCTTCAGAGTTTATTATTAAAAAAGAAACAAATATATGCCACAACGAAACACGCATTTGTTGTAACAAACTTATACTTCTCACGCAGTACATACTGACAACCGCAGGACTCAATAAGTTTCTCCTCTTGGTGTGGCTTCCAGAAACCTGAGTTGGCATTCATTTGCAGTAATTGTCCACAGCAGAGGTTTTCTGATACAAATATCTTCCTTCTTTACTTTTTGGCTATCATCCTTATACCTCTTTTTAAAAAAGTAACAATTCTATCCTTCTTATGATTTTTCGTTTCAGTAATAATATGTTAATGTGTGCATTCATAATGAGATGAGCTCTAGATAATTTCATCCTCTGTGATTACATGTGGAATAGAGTGATTAATCATAAAATGTTCTCCCCATTATTCCAAAACTAGGAAGTCGAACAGAGCAATAGACTGAATGCATTCTAAACTGATCTCTCTCCTAAGGAGATTATTTTCAGTGTCCATTTATATGAACAGCCTGGGGGTTGGGGGCCACCTCAAACTGTAACATTATAGCAAGTACCACTGACAATAAAGGAGTAAACTGATAAGAAAATGCTTTCCTATTGAAAACATTTAATGACTGCAACTTATGAGTCATTTCTTGAGTATGCAAAAGTAATATATTTTCCAAATATATTGCTTCTCACATGAGTATATTTCTAAGCCTTCCTTTCCTTTCTCTAAACTTTTCCTTTTCTAGCATCTTCAGGGAAAGAAAACTGGTCTGATTATTTCCCTTCTATGTTAGTTACAATATAATGAAATATTTTATTTCTCAAAAAAAAAAAAAATGCTTACAGAGTGTCTGCTTTGTGTAAGGAAGTATGTCATGAACAAAACCGAAATGGTCCTTGTCTCCCCATTGCTCATATTCCAGTGCAATACTATTCCTCATATGTCCTTCGCTTCCCCCCATTCGAAACTGCAAAGTTACGCCTGGCATGCTACCAGCTCCACCTGCTCTGGGGGCCACACTGACTCATGGGAGCCATAACATTCAATTGGCTAATGTCAGAGAAATTCTGGAAGAGAGCGTCTGCGGAATTTCAGGGGGTCTCCTTAACAATGGCATCAATGGAAACCAGCTCACACTGCCACCAACCTGAGAGCCTTCATACTCACTTGTGGATTCCAGGCGTTTGACGTCTCTTGATGTTTCTAAGAAATATCGCCGGAGATAAATGAAAATGATGCAAAGGGGAACCAAAGGTATCGCGATCCAAGGAAGCACGGCCACGGCCACAGCTACCACAACAACCACTTGTAGAAATGACTGAAAGAGCAAAAGTAGACACAGGACCTCTTTATCAAGAATTCTTTCCAAAAATATCTTATTGGGTTGTTTTATTTGGATTACGCTTCCTTCTTTGAAAGATCTGCAGAATAGCAGGGAATGCTTTTCCAACCAAAGAAATAAGGAATGTACAGGTTGTCCTAATGATATTTACTACATGCCTGCCACGCACAAACACTATGATAAGAACTTTTTGGGCATTATTTCTTTTGATGCACTCACTAGCCCCATGAGGTAGGGCATGATTATTTTGCCTATTTAACGGACTAGAAAGCTGAGATTCACAGTAGGACTTGAATCCCAAACTCTGGTGAGTTAGTAGATGCTAACAGGGAAATAAGTGAGCAGGTATCATAGATGAGGAAACCACAAACCTCAACGATACATAGGATAAAGAAGAGGCTAATTGCAAATTCACCGCTCAAAAAAGGAGGCAATAATTTAAACCTTCACCTTTGGAAGTGGGGAGACCTCACTCTTGGTTTCTACCCATTGTAAACATTGACTGAGGGCTGTGTATCTGGCTGTATACTAAATACACTACATGTATCAACCATATAAACCTCATAACACCCCTATGTAGTAGTAGTAGTATCTCATTTTACAGATGGAGACACTGAGGCATGGACAGGAAAAGTAACTTGGAGATAACATAGCACCAGTGACAGAGCTGGGGAGCCCACACTGCTAGCCAATAGACGTAAGCAAACCCTCAGTATACAGCCAACTTTTTGTTGTTCAGGAAAAACTTCTTATTAGTCAGGAAGAACTTTTGGACTGCTTTGGGTCTAGTAAGCTGTCTTTAATTTTTCCTCTGAAAACCCTTACTTAAGGAATTATAGAGTCTATCAACAAGCCCAATGAAGAAAAATGTGATAAATCAAACTTTTTATATTCCTTAGAAACCTGAGGAAGAGTTTTGATAATAAGAAAACAGCTTACAATATCTAAAAGGGATTTTAAAAAAATTTTTATTACTTGCATATACATTCAACTTTCCACCATTAGGATAAATATTTGAAATGTCTATTTCAAAGCCACATGATGGTAATAATAGCAAATGCCATGTATCAGGTGATTCCTGGGTGCAAGGCACCGTGGAATGGCTCCATGAATATTCACTTAAATCATCACCTCACCCCATGAGGTGATGTTTTCTTGGGAAATTACCTTGGTCTAAAAGATATTAAAAAAAAAAAAAAGGTAAGCAGAATAGAAACCCAAGTCACTGGATAATGGTCATTTAAGTATCCATCTTTATCAGGAAAAGTATGATATACTAACAATTATCTATGGCTTCAGGTGATACGAATACAACTCAAGTTAGTGTCTACCTGCTAAGAAAGCACAATGCTCGCTTCTTGAAAAGGATGGAATGGTGGGACCATTCAGATTCATACAATGAGATCCAAGGACTCCAAAGTTTACTATTTTACATGAAAATACACAACTTGACCAGAAAGCACAGAGTGCTGTGGAGATATAGGAAGAAATAGAACACTTTTTAGAGGGTTCTAAGAAGGACCTGGGACCTAATTTCACAGGCTGATTTAACAGACTATCAGAAAGAGCAGCATTAATAACCATCTGCTGGTAGCAATCACAGCTTGCTTCCCCATGTGATCACAGGCAACTCTTGTGTTCTCGTAGCATCAGTACCTACACCCTCTGCTGCCAGCCCAGTGCCCTGACCCTTGGCCTCTCCTGTGAGGTGACCAGTCCCAGATTCCTGGTAAATTAGGGAATAGCAGTCTGCTCAGGTCAAAAAGGAGAGCTGATCATTAAAAAGGTCTTAAAATGCTTGCAAATAGATCATACTGATACATGTTGATTTAATAATTATTGTTCGAATAAAAAAAGTCTCCTAAAAGTTCTAAGCCTAGAAAGCAAAATAACGTAGAGAAAAACAAAAGAAGTGCCAGATTTAATTTTAATAAATATATAAAACGTAGGGACAAAAAATGAGGGTTGAATGCTCTACATGTTTAATATCTATATATGAATGGTGGTAAAACATGAAATTTCTCCAGGAAGATTCTTCTTCTAGAATATCGTATCCCAATATTATAGACTTGAACATATTTCTTTTCACAAATGCAGCTTTAAATATGAGGACCTGTTTGCCTGTCTGGTATTTAACTACCAAACTATTTACGGTTCTGTAGGAATTTTTAGGTATCTACCTACAATTCTCTTTAAACTTAATTCTGTGAGATTTTGTTCCTGCTAGTCTTTGTGAGTCTTATGTCAAAGGACATGTTTTCTATAAATAGCACTAAAAATGTATTTTTATTTTATGCAAATAAATATGCCATCCATACTTTTGACTCACTCTATTCCTAATTTGAACTCTCTCTCCCCTCATCCTTATATTAGGCACAAAGTGAAATATGTATTTAATCAGGTGGCAACTTAATCAGTAGATGGTACCTTTATTATTTATGATATTAAAACATAACACCAAAATTGTTAAGACTGCTAACGCCTTGGAGAAACTAGAAAGCTTTTAATTCTGCTGTGAGTCAGACTCTTAAGAATTAAGTTCCAAGTTGTGATAAGTACAAATCGTCCAGGTTATTACTTTAAACTATTACTGACTTTGCAAAAGAGGTGACTTAAGAACAAGAAACAAAGCAGGATTCTCTTCTTGGCAAGAAAGCACAACAAGATTTTCTCCTGATTTAAAGAGGACAAAAATTGACACCTTGTTTTTGATAAGTAAGCTATTTACTGATGTGAGTGTAGAATAGATTCTGCTACCTATCTTATTCTGGAAACACATGAGATTAAAAAAAATGAAATGACTCGAAATGAAATGACTATCATAACAGATTGTGCTGCTAACTAATACAGGATTCTTGTGGAGGCATTAAAATTTTGAACAGACTATATAAACCTCTAAAAGTATTAAGAAATAAAGATGTAATTTATGTCAAATTATACTCATTATATTTAATTATAGAATGAATAGAAGCAAAGGGGGAAATATGGAAGGCTCTTAAATGTACGCTCATAATCCGTCATACTCCCAGCATCAGCATTTATTTCTCAGATGTAAGTTGCGTGCTCACATGATGCTGTGCATGACTTAGGGAAGTCAGAGGTCAACTCTGGATCCCAGGTCTATTATCTCCATAGGACCCACCTTGGGAGGTCTCCCTTTTATCACCTGTTACCTTTGACCTCACCCAACTCAGTTAACTCTGTTGAATCAGAACTTTATAGCTTGCTGATATTTGTATGAGAAGATCTACAGAAAAGTTCTCTAAGACTAAGCTTGCAAACCTTGTCCTTTCCTTGGGATACACTAATCAGTCCTATGAGCCTTCACTGGATGATGTGATCTTCTCACATCCACACCAGCTCTCAGACCTGTGTTACCCTTCAGTTAGCTCTTAATCCTGCATCACAGCTGATAGCACTGAGGAGTGAAGGATGTGTGGATTATAATCTGGTTAGAAAACAATAGAAGGCATCAGGGAAATGTGCGGCACCTCTTCCTTCCTTTGTGGTCAGTGTATCTCATTGAGAAACACCTTCCTTTCCACCTTTCCTCAGTATTAATGTTCATCATGAAATTCGAGGCTGAATTCCATGTACACTCTACCTTTAAAAGACACACCTAAAAAAGAGAGGCATATAAGGGTGGAAATAAAAGGTTGAGAAAAGGTACCCTGTGAAAACTCCACCCAAAAGAAAGATGGACTGTCTATCTCTACCACTATGAATACAGAAGCTCTAATTAAGGAAGGATTCCTAGAGATAAAAGAAATATTTCATAAGAATAAAGGTTCGAATTAACCAGAAGATACACACAACAATAAATTTTTATGAACCTAAAAATATGGCTCCACAATGCATAAGGGAAAAAATCCAACAGATCTCAGGAGAAATAGAAAAATCTACCATTATAGTCAGAATTTTAACCCACTTATTTCAATACCTGATAGAATAAACAGATCAAAATGTATTAGAGATTAGAAAGCATGATTAACAAACCTGACTTAATGGCTACAATACTGTAAACAATAACTACATAATACATTCTCAAGTGCACACATACTACATCATAAAGCAAATATCAAAGAACACCAAGAGACAGAAATTATATAGAATATATCTGTATGTGAATTTAAAAAGAAATCAATAACAAAGTAACTAGAAAATGACCAAATGTTAGAAAATTCAGTAATACACTTCTAAATAACACCTGTTTCAAAGAAATTAAAATTACACAGTATTTTCGAATTAAAAAAAAGAAAATCTAACGATATTAAAATTTGAGCCCTGAAACTAAAGCTGTGTTGAAAGGTAAATTTATAGCTTTAAAAATTTTTTTAAGGCCGGGCGCGGTGGCTCACGTCTGTAATCCTAGCTCTCTGGGAGGCCGAGGCGGGCGGATTGTTTGAGCTCAGGAGTTCGAAACCAGCCTGAGCAAGGGCGAGACCCCGTCTCTACTAATATCAGAAAGAAATTAATTGGACAACTAAAAATATATAGAAAAAAATTAGCCGGGCATGGTGGCGCATGCCTGTAGTCCCAGCTACCGGGAGGCTGAGGCAGGAGGATCGCTTGAGCCCAGGAGTTTGAGGTTAGTGTGAGCTAGGATGACGCCACGGCACTCTAGCCCGGGAAACACAGTGAGACTCTGTCTCAAAAAAAAAAAAAAAATTTTTAAAAAGACAAATGCTAAAAGTCAAGGATCTTAAAAAAACCTTAGAAAGATTTAAAAAAAAAATACCATATTAAATTAAAATATGACAAGAATGGAAATGAGAAAAAGTAGACAATAATGAAACAGAAAACTAACTTCAAGGAGAAAAATCAACAAACCTATAACTTGGTTCTTTGAAAATATGAATTAAATTAATAAACTACACCCAGACTAATTAAGAGAAAAAGAGAGGAAGAAATACTATTATCATGAATTAACAGGCGGTAACAGAAGATATACTACAGGCATTAAAAAGGCTACAATA